CACCATTCCTTTCAAGCAACACAGGGATTAATTTAATGTATTTTTCACAGTAGAAAAATAAATAGTTTAAGGAACATAAGCAAGTGCCTTAGTTCTAATTTAATGATAAACTTTAATAAGTATTTTTTTAATGTTAGCAGATATTATGACCAGTTCTTAGATCATGAATTGCAACACTATTTATTTTTAATCCACTTTGAAACAGTTACAATTAAGTTAATTATCAATAAGACATTTTAATAGAAATCCAAATAGAGTCAATAAACTATCTTGCATACTCATAAAAATAAGAAACCCATAAATTTAAACTTCTGGATAGAATATATATGATTTCTCCCTAAATTATAGTCAGTATCAATGTAGAATTATTCTACAAAAATTATCATTTTGAGATTCTCTAATTAAAATGATGACTTTAAAAGATTTTCCAAATTGTTGAATTCTTTTCAGCCTTAAAATGAGCATCAGACCTAAAAGGTATATGCTATTTCAATTCATCTTAAATATCTATGACAAACTGCTTCCAAAATGTTGCCAAGAAAACTGCATGGACTTCTCCACACTGTTGCTAAAAATTCAGACTATCTGAAAGGCACTATAGAGACACACACAGCGTATTTTAAGGAATAAGTCATATTACTTTAAAACTTAATTCAGTGAGAAAGTGTTTACTGATGCCAATGTATTCAGCATAACTGTCTGTTCCATCATAAATAAAATATCAACACTGGAGTGTAGAAATCTCATAGATATCACAGTGTTTTTTTCAAGAGTGTAGGATATTATAGAAAAATCATAAGATGAAAAAAAATGAAAATGATATTGCTGCAATTGCATAGTGTCACATATTTCAGCATTTTATTTATTTAAAAAAATTATATTGCTGCCTACTCTCACATGGCAACTCAAGGTGGCTTACAGGAAATGAAAACACAATATAAAAGAAAAAATAATAAAATAAAATAACCCCCACCCACTATCCCAGCGACAACACACATTTATACCAGCCATTTAATGCAGAGTTACAATTATTTTTGAAAAGACATAATTCTAAAGCCCTATGCTTGCATCAACTTGCTGTCACTATTTGAGAGTGTAAGTGTGCAGATCTAGTAAGTTTGTTTGCAATTTCCACAAACCTGCAGGCATAATACCAATGGCAAGTTGGCTAGTGAAGAAAAGAGGGAAAGCAAAGGATCACATTATTTTTAGGATAAGAAGCATTTCAGCTCATGTCATACTATACAAACTAAAATGTTTTGCACAGGTAATAGCTGAAACAAGCAGAGATGTATATGGATATATACTGTTCTTACCCAATAGAGATAACAAACCAAAAGGTCAAAAATATTGTATTGCAAGCCCATACATAATTCAGTGCTTTCAGATAGCTGAATAAACTGATGCTAAAAACACCATGGGAGCTACAGTTTTTATTCATTGCTGCTTCATGTTCAGTTTATCTATAACAAAAGAAATTTATGATCTTACCACTGGGCTACATTAGAAAAAAAAAGGAGGTGCCAGAAACAGGAAGATCCAGAGCCAAAGGGATCATAGTACTAAACTTACAAAGGTTTACTATTGCCGATTAAATGAAAAGAGACTCAAAGCTTAATGCAGAGGGAAACAAATCTTTCTAAAGGTTTGAAAGTCTCAGATAACTGCCCTGCCATTGTTTTACATTTTTTCATGCCTCTACACTTCCTGGTTCTGCCTGAGACCAGATGTGCCAAAATACTTTAATAAAGAGTGTTGTCATAGCTCAGCAAGAAGCAGGAAACATAGGTAATCTTGTAAGCAGAAATAAAATCCCCAAATTTAAAACATCTGCATATATTTTCATTAGACCTAATATCTATAACATAGCCACTTTGCCTATTAATCCATCTATCTAACATCTATCTATCTATGACCTATCATAAATAAAACTGATGATTTCACTAGCATAACATGCCTGCAATTTCAATATTTATTACAGCATGCTGTTTTCCAAAGCTATGTTAAAGAGTAGGTGCAAAAAATTACCACATATTTTCCCTGTTTTCAACACAAGATAGATAGCATAGACAAATTATTTAAACTATTTATGTTCAAAATTATGGAATAGGGATAATCAGTTTTGGGGGGAGGGGAAAGGGAGGGTTGAAATACAACACAAAAGATCCCTCTGTCAAATAAAAAGTCGCTGTAATCCAGTATTCTGCACCATAGAGCCAACACATGGTTTTCAATGGTACTTGTAGCTCCATTCTAATGCTTTTCCTGACCATAGTGCAGGGGTCTTCAAACTTGGCCCTTTTATGACTTGTGGACTTCAATTCCCACAACTCTCTTCAACACTGGCTGAGGAAATCTGGGAGTTGAAATCCACAAGTCATAAAAGGGCTAAATTTGAAAACCCCTGCCATAGCACCTCTGAATTTATTGGCTGTAGCTACAATAACATGTAAGCACTAATACCTCTACCTTTCATGAATCTGTTGAGCTCATCCTAAAGTCAGCTAAGTAGTGACTATCACCATAATTACAAGTAGTGAAATCTATAGGTTACATTGCTTATCTGAAACTGCTCAAAATATTACTCCTTGTAATATATCCTAATTAAATAGAATAGCATGACTCATAGCAATAGTTCAGACATGTTCAATTGGAATCCTAATTCTTGATGCTATACCAGAAACTCATTTTTGTAAGATCCCTGTTTCAAAATCAATTTTATGGATTGAGTGAGGAACTACTACTCAAAACAATAAAACTTAGAAGTCATACTTGATACACAGTGGAGCTGACCAAATCCCTGAAATGTTGACATTTAACAATTAAATTAAGATATTTATGCTCAATTATAGTGGTATGCAATTATTTAAACATATGGATGTATATTCCATTTTGATTAGAAAAAACTATAAGCTAATGGGCACAGATAGAATACTCTTTCAGCTAAACTTGGGCTAAATTATATATTGTATATTCAGAACACAGAAACAGAATTTCATATATGCACTTGGTCAAGTTATCTTGTATTGAAACATGTTTATGTTTGTGTGTGTGCAACATGAAATTACCATACTGGCAACATTTGAAAATAGTGTTTATTTTAAATATTTAAGATACAATGTAATAATTTTATGTTAACTTGCTAATGTATCATTGAGCAGTTTCTTTCATAAATAAAACTGGAATATAGGACAATATAGGAGAAACCATATTTAGTGGTTGCACACACTAATTTCAAGTAACATCAGCTCATCTATTAAATAAGGTACATTTTGTTAGATTTGGGGAAAAAGAAACATCAGGGAATATTTAAAGGGCAATTGTTGCCAATTAACTTTGATCAACAAAAGTTGTATGTGAATCTTCAGAATTCTTTTGCCTGCCTAGAATAATGTATATTTATATTTTCTAACAAAATAATACTGTGATGATTAATGCTTATTGGCAACGCTCCCCAAGCTTGTTTAGTGGTTCAGTTTTAAATAAATAGCTGCCTTTATTATGACAGAAGCAAAATTTGACTGTCTTACCTGAGTTTGAAATTTTAATGAAAATATCCAAAAGTCTGTTTTTCCATTGTTAAATGAAAGAAACACACAAGTTGGAAACTACTATTCACAACCAAGGAAGTTCTTTTAGAGGGGAAAAAAATATTAAGACCAAAGATTTTAAGCTTTTGATATGGTTCTAGAAAGTTTGACATTACAACTAACTGCTAGAATTTCCCACGGTTCATGCAAAAGGCCTACTTATGTTTATTATTTACATAAACATTGTGAGCTGAAACATTTATCATCATAACTACAAAAGTATGAACCAGTTATTCAAGTTTCATTGTGCAATTACTGTGCTATTGATAACAAATATGTTCTTGTTTTGTTGTTTTCCTAATCTTGTGTTAGCAATCCAGACTTGCAATTACTGTATATGCCAGCGTATAAGACGACTTCCGGAAGCGCTAAACTTGGCGCCAAAGACGGGGGTCGTCTTATACGCCGAGTCATCTTATACGGCGGAAATACTGGTAGTTTCTGGCGTATAAGACGATGTTCTAGGAAGGCGACTTGGCGATAAAGACGGGGGTTGTCTTATATGCCGGGTCGCCTAATATGCCGGCATATACGGTATGAGATGGATGGCAGTATAAAGCAATGTAATAAATAAAATAAATTTTACAACAAATACACCACCCACAAGATACATGATAAAGAAATAATAGCATAGTGTGGAATTGGGAAAGACAGAAACCCAGTTTCTTACAGGCATTTAACATATGCAGTACTACTGAATTCACATAATTTCAACACAGTTTCTCACTCTGATTTGTATTAGAGCAAATGACCTAGGCAAATTAATTTAAGTAATTATTAGGAAGATAGCATGCTTTCTTAATAACTATCATATGGTTACATTTTAATATTTAAAATTTAGTCAAAATATTAATATCTTAATAACACCAAAGAAAATTATGATGACCATTAAAATTTCCAACAAGTTTTGCAGATATTATAAGCATTAAGCCCAGAAGTAATAAATGATAAATTTATATTTTTGAAAGAATATATATACATACAACAGTAGATAAAGTTTAAGTTTCTTTAAGTGGACAATACAGCTAATTGAGTGTTTTGGGTAGACATAATGAGAAAAGAACCACAGGAACAAACTGTGTAAATATTGTAGGGAAGGAATTATTTGTGGAGAAATACCAATATGAAGGAGCAGAAGAATTGTATCTATCTCAACCTATGCCAGGAATCCAATAGACAGCTACCTGAAACCAATGACAAATAGTGGGTAGCCTATTAGTTAGCTATACCTAGAAGCAGACAGCTAATTATCATGAAATTAGTATAAATAGAATGATAAAGAAGGACTCCAGAGCACTAACTTTGCCAATGTAAGTCTTCTTTTAAGTCCTTTCATAGAAAGTAGTGGTCACTCGGCCATTATTTAGTCTTTCAAAGATTATGTTTGTCGTTCAAATAATAATTACTTACTTCTAAATCATTAAAGAACAGATGCGTATCGGCCAAGTTGAAAATCATCTCCTCCATCCTTAATCCCAGTGAAACAGAAGTAGGGGGGTCCTCATAAAAGAAAAGAAAGAAAAAGGAAAAAATTAGACTTATCAGAGAACAAGCATCTTCCACATAACACTTTAGACTTAATCACTGTCAAGAAGAAAGGCAAAAAAGTTTGGATAGTACATGTGGCAGTACCTGGAGATAGCAGAAGTGAAGAGAAAGAACTGGACAAAATCACCAAACACAAAGACCTACAAATAGAAGTAGAACGACTGTGGCAAAAGAAAGATAGTGCCAATAATAATAACCACCTTGGATACAATTCCAAAACATCTGGAGCACCACTTGAATACCATCAGCATTGACAAAATCACCATCAGCCAATTGGAAAAGGCAGCTTATGATACCTTTAAATATTATTAAACAACATCAGCTTATCCCAGTTCCTTGGGAAGGACAAAAATATCTAAATATCTAGATGACTATGTGATAAACCATAACACAATAACAATAATAATCTCCTGTATGGACACCCATAGTCATGGAGATAGGTCTTGCGGTACTCTGTTGAGGTTGACAGCTCCGCTGGCATTAGTCTATTTTATCAGAAGAGTCACTCAGGCTCTGTCTGTATCTGTCAGCCCATTAACTATAGTGAGTAAACAGAAAAAGAATCCTGTACTAGATTCAATGACCTGATAAGTCATTGCTTGTTTCAGCAAGGACTGTATCAGGTGCTAGAGTTCCTGGGTAACTCTTGACAAGTGGGCAGCAGGACTGTGATTCAAAAACCAAGCCATTATGGCCTATTATAAATTCGAACCAACAACATGAAGCTACTTAAGCAAATTTTTAAATTTTAGAAAGAATTTATCCAAATTCAAATATTGCTGAACAGCTATTAGCAGACAAAAGGAGATTTATTATTAGAAATAAAATATTCAAGAATGCAGAACTGAAGAAGTTTAGAAAAATTGTGACAATGGAAGACCCAAAAACAATATAGATAATCCATACTCAACAACTATTTATTTAGTGACTGTTTGAAGTAACAATGGCACTGAAAAAAATAATGTATCACCAGTCCTTGCACTGATGACTGTCACAACATCACAGTGACTGTGATTTGGATGCTTGGTAACTGTCATGTATTTATGATGGTTGCAACATCTATGGTCATGTGATCGCCATTTGTGATCTTTCCAGATGACTTCCAACAAGCAAAGTCAATGGGGAAGAAAAGGTTGCAAATAGTGGTGATGTAATGTTGATTTAACAACCATAGTGATTCATTTAATGACCGTGTCAAAAAAGATCATAACATTGAGGATGGTTATGTGCTATCTTATTTAATAACCATACCACTTGAATTTTCTAGTCCCAATTGTGATCATAAGCCAAGGACTACCTACAGTAGTTTACTATCTACAGTAGTAGAAAACACTGAAATAACAATTGGAAATATAGAAGGACTAGCTGATATACGTAAACAATAAAAATGGTAACTTAGAAAAGGGTTGTCCAATTTTTGGGCCACATCAAGTGAAGAGGAATTGTCTTGGGATGCATTTTAATATTTAATATAATTAATGTATGTGAAAAACAAATTTTATTTGTTTATATTTTTTATGATCTTATGGGGTCATATTATAGTTGTCCAAGGCTTATGCGCCCCATGGGCCAAAAGTTGTTAGAACAAGTAATAACAAAAGAACTAGTACAAAACTGACTTTTTGAGAAGAAGAATCAAAAGAAAAAATTATGGCATTATAAATCACTAGTAGAAAGACAAACTGCTAGCACAAGAAAGTGGTGCCCCCCCCCCAAATTTTTTTGTGGCACCTATAATGAAAGATGAGTATAAGATGCTTGCAAAGATCAAGGTAAGCCTGGGACAGCTTTCAAAATAACAAAGCAACAAATAACAGTAAAAGGTAAGAAAACTGAATGCTATAAGGCACAAATAATCAAACTGAAGCAAAATCTACTATTCCAATCAGACCAGAGGTGATTCTATCAAAGTGGCAATAGAAATTCTAAAAATGGAAAACAAAAGAAAAGTGAAACAATCCAGTTTTGGAAAGATCTATGGGAAACTCAAAAAGATTATAATAAAAATGTTGAATGGATAAAATAATTTGAATATGAACTTAGTAAAAATCAAATGGCAGAACTAATAAAAATAGTAGAAAAGATTACAGTGAAACCAGTGAAAAAGATTTAAAAATGGACCTCTCCTGAAATGATTAATTTGCTTTTGGGTCAAATATTTGCTTAGCTTACATCCAATTATTAGCTTAATAAGTATTGCATAGAAAAGACATCAGCATCTGGTTAATAAATGCAAAAATTTAGATACGTTTTGAAAAATATCCCAGCAAAAGGAACAAAATCAGGAATCATAGGCTGATAATATGATTGCTTGCAATGTTTAAATTACTCACTAGCATAACAGTGGGCAAAGGTGGGCAACATACAAGATTATTTGCAATAAAATTATTTTACTTAATATTTAAACTTAGCAAACCATAAACAAGTAAAATGGAAAAACAATCTATATAAATTCCTATTTGTAAGCTTTCAAAAGATAACTAATTCAGCTGTTTGAATTAAAACAAATGCTAGATATGTAACTGTTTACACTAATTGAGAAAAGAAGTCTTACATTCATAATTTCTGGGTCCAGTGGTGAACAAAGCTTGTAGTCCTGAATTCTTGTCTAAACTAACCAATTGTCTACATGATTAATTTAATTATCTCCATTTCTCCCACATTCAAAGTGACAGAACCTATTATTATGATTAATATCGGTTTTCTACTACACATTCTCATATACATTGAACTAGAACAAAAAAATTATCTTCAGTATATTTAGAACTGATTGTGTTTTAACCCTCTACAAGTCTTTGGAGATAAAATATCTTTGTTCACTTGGACCCTAACAGAGAATCTAAATATTAAATAGCACAATTTTTTTTAAAGGTTGTATACTTGAACACAAAAACAATAGTGGCTAGAACTGGTTAGTAGACCGAGATAAAATAATGGAACATTAGAATCTTAATCTTTGTTTATTTAATTCATTTCTGAATAATTATTGCAAAATTAAATGTTTGAAAAGTGCAATGAACCATTTAAAAAGTACTATTTATAAATATGAATGGCATATTTATTATGATTTATTACTACACACATTAGTACGTCATCTTAAAATCCTTGCTCCTTTTGTTTTCTGGTGAAGGAGGAGTTGAAAAACAGGAAAGTTCACTTTTTGTTCCTGCCTCAGCTTATTTTCCAGTTAGCTGGAAAGTCAGAACTGAATACTTCTGTGGGCTTTCCCCTTCTTTTTATGTAACATGTTATGACATATATCTCCTAAAATTAAATCAAAGAAACAAAAAAACTTCATATTAACACTACAAACTTCAAATGATGAAGTGTTGAACCACAAGTACTGCTACATAAACAAATTATCAGAATTTTAGCTAAGTGTGTCCCATAGTCTTCTTTTAATGCTCTTCTGCACAGTGATTTCCTACCTCTTTCAGGATCTGAATCAATTTAGTTTTCATTTAATCTAAACTGGCAAACAGTTTTCTCTTTGAAGAATTAAAAATCAGTATTTGATAATGAGAATAGGAAAGAATCAATACAAAGCCTGACATTCATTTACGTTTTACTTTTCCTACTTTCCATTTCTTGTTCCATTTGTTGCAAGGGCAATTTGGGCTTCAAAAAATCAGTTGTCAGGTAGGAGGACCTGTCCATCTCACAATACATCCCAGCTAGTCACTGGTGAACTAATAAATAGTAAACAAATAGCCACCGATGCACAGAAGGCATCACTGCATATATTCAAAGAACATCTCCCACTAGTTCTATACTTTATTTTCAGCAAAATATCTACAGAGCTGTTAGTTATTGTTGCATGTGATTTATATTCAAGGTAGTGCTCAAAGAAAACTGTTTTTCAACAGCATTCAAATTATATACTTTATTCCTGAAAAAATATAATAATTCTCTCCTCTAGGGCTTTTACTGCTATCATGATTAGTATGAAAAAAATATTGAATCTTATAAACAACCCTTTGCTTATATCCACATCAATAATTATATCCAAAGTTATGCAAGTAGCTTTCTGTTAATGTAGACTTGCTACCTCAAAACCTTTTCTTTGTGTAACGCCCACCAAGCTTTATTCAAGGCTATTGCTGGAAAATCTAAAACCATACACTTTTCTTTTAGGACTGATGGATAAATAACTGGGAAAAATGTAATTTAGATTATAGAAATATGTAAGTAATAGTCTAACCACAGAGGGAGGAGGAGGAGGGGGAGGAGGAGAACCAGAAGAAAAGTGAGTGGATTCAGTTGCAATGGCAATAAATGCACCATTAGAAAATGGGAGAGACTGTCATGGAAAAAATCTAGCTATGTGGTCACTAAAAGTTAATAACTTGATGACATATAATCCATCCATCCATCAATAAATTATTTTATCATATCATAACCTCTGTACCATGTATAGCCCATTTATTTAAGAGCAAGATTTAATTTATTTTTCATTATAGTGGTATTATATTAGTACAGTTTGTAATACTAATCTAAAAAAAAATGAAAGATAATCCAGACAGGCATATATAGAGAGTTCTTTATGTAGTTCCCATAGAATATTTTATTTATGTCCAGTATTAAAAAGCTGGAACGGAACATTTTTTTAATCCATACCATGTTGGATTTACTTCATTTTAAAATTCTAATAACAAATTGCATTTAATAATTTTGTACCTTTTTTCTTTCATCCAGTGGAAAAATAGAGATTACCGGTATATGTATTTAGAGATATGCTATTATTTAGAATGGCAAGTTTATAAGTATATAAATAACTTTACTTTTACAATTATTTGGTAAAAGTTTTCTGAATTCACTATCAGCTCCTGCTGACTACATGGAAACATTTGTACTGATTTCTTTACAAAGTATGGGTATTTCTAGAGTGTTATTTCTTTTCCAATTTCCAGAAGGTTTCCAGAATTGACCATTTACTTCCAATGTTTCATAAGCACTGAAACCCCAATGACAATTATTGTTTTTATTTTACTTTTAGCTTCAACACTTCATCCTATTACACTAAGTTTTTACTTTTTTCTATAGATTGCTTCTGATTGCACACATATACAAATGTTGTCTTTTATACTTACTCTTCCATATCTATTAGCATATGATCCTGTGAGAAGTGAATGGAAAACGATGATTGTCTCATCCAAATCCCAAATGAATACTCTCTATAAAAATAAAATCAAAATATTTATACTTGTCATGTTTTATAAAGTTGGTAACTATAGTAGATTTACCTAAAGGAATTGTTCTGAAAGTTGTACTTATTATAAGCTTATCTATTTTTATTCAATTTCAGACCAATGTCCATACTATATGTCAATAATAATGTCATAATGCAAAATTTCTCAAGATTTAAAATGGATGGTTGCTTATTAAATAGCCATATCTTTTTCATGATTATGCAAAGTTTTAAAAATAATTCAGGTACTGGGATATGCTAAGCTCGTGTTCCTCTGCTTTTCAAAATATATCTTCCAAATCATTTCTGAAGTAAGCATATCTTTAGTCCATACATATAACTGTCATAAAATTAGTTCAAGCTAGATGCAAATATTTATAGCAATAAGGGTAGATTCAATTAATTGTTGAATGTTATAAATTTAAACACAAATTTGACCATAAAAGTTGCTTTTCACATGGAAACCCACACTCTTAGTTCATTAGTTGTTTGTTTTATCCATAAACACAATCAACTTACTAGAATATTAATTGTAATTTAAGTTATTTCTTTTTAAAATGTGATATTCAAGATTTGAACTGAACTATATAACTATATATAGTCATGAAAGAATTATGTAACTGTTTACCTTGAGAAAGAAACAACAGTTCAGCTAGAGATGAATAATTTTGTAGAAGAAAACTCACTTGTAAAGATACAGAAGTGGTGCTAAGTATTGTTTCAGCTAATTTTACTTTGTTTTCAACAGTTTTCATGAATTCATCTTTGCTTTCCTTACCAACTCTCTCTAACACTGCTAAAAAGGATAAATCAATGTACAAATAAATAGCTATTTTGCATCCAATACCTCTAGGTCAGAGTCAGGTGGTGGTGAAGGATTGTTATTCCTTCTGCCTCGGCCACGAGATTTGCCATCTGAGCTGCGACGCAACCTATCTGCCTCTGAATCTTTAATTGGTGTTGTAGGAATTGTACTATACTCTGCTGAAAAAGAGAAGAGAAAATTGCTCATATTTTAATTCAATTGTAGTTTTCTGAACTTCATTATTTTAAGTAAGCTACACAGATTTGGCCAATTTTGTGTATACTGTAGCATTCATCTTGTGTTAATATTAGCATACCTGGAAGATCTCTTTCTAATCTTATCCACAACAATCAATAGATAATAGAAGTTTACTTTTTGTCTATAATCAAGTGCTTTTTGCCTAATTTTTTTTTTTAGAACCCAAAATATGTTCCAGTTAAGAATGTCTAAATTTTGGTGATATCAATTAAATATACTTTTTTGTTCCCCATTTTTTTAAAATTATCACCATAAAAACTTTTACTTTAAGTGGGCTAGTGATGAATGAGGTGTAGCAATTTTTATAGAGACAAAAAATAAATTTTGGTTGTTTATTGGAGAGATTTGAAGAGATCCTTCCAATTATTTTTTTTCTTAAAAAAACCAGAGTGGTGTTTTTCAGTAGCCAAAAGAACTGTCCATTGTACAAAGGAAATTTGGGACAGAATTTGGTTTTAGTGCTTATCAAAATAAATAGCACATGTGCGGCTAATTTTACATTCTTACTCATGGCTTAAGCTCATGATCAGTTTTAACTATATTATAGGGTTAGTAAAAATAATACGAATTAAGCATTCCCATAGAGATTTTTCAGGAAGGTCAAGGTTCATAATATGATAGACTTACAATAATAGTTTCAATTTACCTATGCATAATTAATTCAATTTCTTCAAGAAATTGAACATATATATATATATATATATATATATATATATATATATATATATATATATATATATATATATATATATATCCCTCTTATATTTAATCAGAATTGTTTTCAAGAGTTCTTTCCTATAAGGATCCTTCCTCAATCTATTGCATTTACAACCCATAATCAATCTAGCGTGAAGTAGGAATATTTTCCTTTGGGAAGAGGAGACAAAAGTCTCTCATAGTTTTATGACAATGTTCAGATGATTAGTAAAATGCTTGTTCGTTTGGAAGCATTGATATCAGCCAGTAAGAGCTACTTGATAACTTTCTAAGAGAAGAATACTAGCTCAGTATCTTAACTCGGCTTAGTGCATAAAGCTCTTATCAGAATATGCCAACTCTTACTTATGTAATGTCTCTAATTCTAATCATACACAAGCACATTTAGCCACCGAAATCAATGAAACGAATTTTCAAACGTTTCCTTATCGCATCTGCTAGTCAGAACAACATTTCTTCAGAGAGATATAATCTGGTATGTCATCTAAGTCCTGACCTTAGTACAAGCATAATAAAAACTGGGAATAGACAAACAAGGTGTTCAATACGTTGAGCTCTCTATGGACAAGTTGTTTTGGGATTGTATCTTAGGTGTACTACCTTTTCTTTAGTACATAGAACAAAGGATAATAGGGTTGGAAGGGATCTTGGAGGACTTCTAGTCCAACCCCTTGTCACTGCCATTCTACTTCTATTTGCAGTCTTTGCATTTTTGTGATTTTCTCCAGTTCTTTCTCTTCTCATCTGTTATCTCCATGAGAGAGAACAAATAAAAATAATAATCTTTTGAGCCTAACTTGTTGGAATTAAATTTACTTTAAAGTTATACATATTCTAATTTGAAATTTTGGTTGTGCTTGTAGTTCCCTAAATAGAGCAGCCAGAAATACAATTCTATATCTTTTTCCTCTCTGCCCGTACCAGGAAAAACCTGTACGTAATGTTTTGTGGCCAAAGATTGCTTTTCTCAAAAATGTCTTGTTCTGGAACTATTTTTATGAGCTTATTCAAAACAAATCTCTCTGGGTTTGTTTAAGCATACTCACATACAGTATAAGCAGCTACAAAACTGCACTCTTAGCCCAGCACCTAAAATAGTTTAGGTAAGGAAGTCAGACTCTTTAAATACTATTCCTCATCTTGCAATTTTTATTACTGCAAACTTTGACTATTTTACAAGAACTGTAGCAAATCATGCACCTGAAAATTCATTGCTATACAATTTATCTTTAATCCATCTTTTCAGTACTAACAAAACAATAACATAAATTTCTATCTTTATGCATCCAATATGTTTATTGAGACAATAAAATAGAGCAATTACCTGCTGGAGGATCTGTTACAGCTTGATTTGTGATGCCAGTTGGTGGTTCTTGAAGTTGGTAAGTTGCATTGGAGGAAGGAGTTGTTGGGCTGGTGTTGCTGCTTGCCACATAATGTGAGGGATATGGAGAGCTATTATAATACTGTGCATATTGACCCTGGCCAAAGGTGGGATAAGATGGATATTCCTATCAGAAGCAAGAGAATGCTGAATTACACTTTCCATCAGCATGCAATTACATTTTATTTACTTCTAATATAAATTCAAATTCTGTATGCATTTTCTGTTACCTTAGCTTTAAATAAATTTTGTTCTTACTTTATTTTTAAAGAACAGTTAGTTATAGAAATTGTCTCTACAAAAATTGAACTACTGTAAATTCCGAAAATGAAAGTTATATACTGAATTTTAAAAATTTTAAATTTTAAAATTCTGTTACTAAAATAAAAGTAAACTCCAAAGTTCTAGATAATTTCAAATTGTCTTTTTCTTAGTGAAGTACAGGTAGTCCTTGACTTACACCTTGACTTAGTAACCTTTCAAAGTTACAATGACACTGAAAAAAAGTAACATGACTATTTTCACACTTAAAACAGTTGAAGCATCCCCTTGTGATCAAAATTCAAGCACTTGGCAATTGACTCACATTTATGACTGTTGCAGTGTTGCAGGGTCACATGATCTACTTTTGCAACCTTCTGACCAGCAAAGTTAATGGAGAAACCGGATTCACTTAACAACCATGTTATTAACTTAATACCTTCTTAACACCTGACTTAATAACTGTCTCACCTAGCAAAAGATTTTCATGCTGGTTATGAAATGCGTAGACTAGATATTTACTGTTCAAGTACAACATTCGGAAATGTACAAAGGTACATTTATTTCATTGAGTCTGTCTCTCTCTGTGTTTGTGTGTGTGTATGTGTGTGTGATTATTCTAAATACCTGAATCCCAGGTGTAAACATTTTTTAAAAAATCAATAAAATTAGTGAACTCCGGGATATAAAATAGCCTTTTTTATTACTGAGCTTTTGTCAATTTGCTGTTGACATCATCAGAGTAAGGGCTGAAGATTGGAAGAGCTTACAAACATGCTTGTGTGACTGTTTTAACAGTCAGGTCATGGAACGTATGGTCAGCACGCCCACCACCCGCTCATCTGTATTTAGCCTCACTAGTTCCGGCTTGTTGATATAAAAGCTGGTCTCGATCTGAAATTTGAAAAATTCCTCCTCACAGCTGTTCGGCGCGTCAGTCTCGCTGCACTGCGTGAAGCCGCATGTCAGTTGTTAGTGTCCTCGTGATGCAACCAGGCAGATTACACGTCTCATGAGGACACTAACAACTGATGTGCGGCTGTGCGCAGCACAGCGAGACTGGCATACCGAACAGCTGTGAGGAGAGATTTTTCAAATTTCCGACCGAGACCAGCTTTTACATCAAAGCCGGAACTAGTGAGGCTAAATGTGGGTGAGCTGGTGGCGGGCGTCACCATATGTTCTATGACCTGACCATTAAAACGGTCACACACACACACAAGCTCTTCCAATCTTCAGTCTTTACTCTAATGATGTCAACAGCAAGTTGTCGAAAACTCAGTAATAAAAAAAGCTATTTTATATCCCAGAGTACACTAATTTTATTGGTTTTAAATATACACACAATATACATATACATACCTGAACAGGGCTTTCCATTGGCACCTGGAAGGTGGTATGCAGCCATGCCCAGCCTATCCAAGTATAGTAGGAGAAGGAACAAGCCAAAGCGGCGCAGCACAGGACTTGCCATGAGAGAGTCCTTGGGATGAGGCAAAAGCCCCATGATCGGCACTTCCGGCACACCCGGAAGAGAAAGGAGGAGGAGGGGGCAGAAACAGCAAGGGATATAAAAGGGATGGATGGATGGAAGGATGGTACAATGGAAGGGAGAAAATGAAGGAAGGAAGGAAGGATGGGACAATGAGAGGGAGAAAAGGAAGGAAGGAAGGAAGGAAGAGACAATGGAAGGAAGGGAGGGAAGGAAGGAAAGGACAATGACAGACAGGGAAGGAAGAGAGAAACAGACAATGGGAGGGAAGGAAGGGAGGATGGGACAATGGGAGGAAGGGAGGAAAGGAAGGGTCCCACCCCCCTCCACCAGAGACCCCAGGATCCCCTGCACAGCCCCCCCCACCCCCCACGCGCTCTGCGACCTGAATGACGTTGAGCTAGCCACGTCTCCTGGCCATTGACTTCACTTATCAAGATGTAAAAAGTGATCACCTGACCCTGGGATGCTTTGACCATCATTAAGTATGAATCAGTTGCCAAGCATCCAAATGTAAATCACATAACCCTGGGGATATTGCAACAGTCATAAGTGTGAAAAATAGTCATAAATCACTTTTTAAAATGCCATTGTAACTTTGAATAGTCACTAAGTGAACTGTTATAAGTCGAGAACTACTTGTACTTTATCAGTTTTTCCCCTTTTTTTGGTCATCAAGTTTTTGATATCTTGCTAGTGGTGATACTCGAATATTGCCGTATCTTAAAAATGGTAAATTTGTGAAAAGGTTGAAAATCCTTGTACTAGAGTAAATAGGCTTTAATTATGGAGTATTTTGAATGAACATACGAGCTGAAAATTGATTGCCAAAAGCAGTGATGAGTATATAATAGAAATGAAGGAAGTGTAAGAATAAATAAAATGATTCAATTTAAATAAAAAGCGAGTTTGATTTATGTATGTTGGTGGTTTATATTTGGATAAATCTATAAGGTACTGTGGCAACATTAGAGGTGTGGATTAAATACAAAAGTGAATGATTCATACGAAGAAAATACACTGAAATGGTTTGATCACAGAGAAACTAGATAAAGATCAAATCAAAATGGCAAGCAAGAGTAAGTGGATCAAGAAGAAAAGTTTGCATGGAAGTCTTAAAAAAGTTGAGCTACTTCATTGAATGGCAGAGGGATGCTATGCTCATGCTTGCAAGACATCCAAAACACTTTTTTCCCACAATCCTACCAAGTGTTCCTTTTTATGCTTTTCTCTTTCCATTGCATATTATTTTTGTCATGTTTTTTAAGATTATAAATAATGGGCAGGAAGTCAATGTTCATTCTTTCAGGAAAGGTACACTGAGATTTCAATGAAAACCAAGAAAAATATTTCAAATAACTTCACCTCTCATATTTACCTGCTGCGAACCATTGAATCCAGTAGAATTTGTAAGTGAATTATTTCCAGCATATATTCCAGATGATGTTGTGAAACTGCTTCCTGAAATAAAACATTGAAGAGAAAGTATATAAATCTTTAGTATAACTACATTCAGTCAGATTAAAACATGCTGAACAGGGATATACAACACATTTTGAATTTGAAATTGAAAGATTGAAGAATAATCTCAAGATTAACATAGTTTTTCCAATCTTAATGGAAGTGTTGCAGTGCTGTTTTAACAACTCCATTTTGTGCTCAACATATTAGCCCCATTTGACCTCAAAATACCAGTTGCAAATCAGAAACAGAGCTGTTCAAAGCTCAGAATAGTAAGGTGACAACAATCTGTTCTGAGCTCAAGACAAAAAAATTAAGTTTAAAATACTTTGAATTCAAAATGTAGTGCATATTCCTAATATTTAGTTCAAGGACAGGACATAAATGAAAAAGCATCCCTTTCTTGCTTTTCCCACAGCTGGTAGTCAAATGACAGAAGTCTCTCTCTCTCTCTCTCTCTCTCTCTCTCTCTCTCTCTCTCTCTCTCTCTCTCTCTCTCTCTCCCTCTCCCTCTCCCTCTCCCTCTCCCTCTCCCTCTCTCTCTCTCTGTGTGGTAGTATGTATATGACATGCTTTTGACTTAAAACAGTAATTCAAGAAAAACAATGTGATTAGTCTGACTGGGTACATATTGGATGTAATATGAAAAGATTGTGTCAATATCACATGTAAAAATAGCTACAAACTATTTTAAATTAATTTCTGTTGATCCTGGAAGAAACTAGTTATCCAGAGTTTTAAATTTAAGCAGTTTAATATCACTACGTATACCTTCTTGCTATAGAAAGAGAAAGTTTTAGCTGAAGGCAAACCTGTGTCGTGTCTAATAGTGGCACAGAAAATTATAAATTATTTTAGTGTTATTGACTATATAGCCTTGGGCAGCACTTTTCTCTTTCTTAAGAAGTTACTGTTTCTCCTGATACACAAAGCATTATTACAGTACATGGCATTTCAAACAGAAAGGCTACTGACTAAAAGGGTCTGGATACTGCAATTCACTGTCAACTTTGTTTCCCAAATGGACAGATGGTCCTCTTGTTTTAATGTCTTTATCTAAAAAGCTGTATTTTCTTTTAAGCTCAAAAGCTAATTTGAACATATGGATACTTAGAAGGAAAACATGTGGAGGATGAATTTTAAAAAAAGCAATAAAGAAAAAAGCTGTAAGTGATAAAAATATTATATATACAGAAAAGATGCAGTAAATAACCCTTTAACTGTTTCATTCATTTGATAATCTTGTCAGATGGAATTATGAAAAGGAAAAAAATTTTAGTGGAACGATGATCAAAATTACCGGATGATCCATACATATATGGATCCCCCAATACTGTATTCTTGACACATATTAATAAACCTGAGTACAACTAACCAACATATATGCTTATTTAATATATTCATAATATGTGGAATTATATAGCAATGTAAAACATAACTATGTAAGAACTAAATAAAATGAGTATTTCTAATAGTATTTGTTACATCTTGATTAAGTTTTTTCTTGGGCTGGTTAATGACTGCAGTAGAGTTATTTAAGATTAATTTTTGAGAATATGCTTAATGGAGTCTTTGCAATACTTATAGTCTAAAGGACTATCAGCTTCAAAATAGGTCAAAAAATGAAAAAGCATTTTATTTTGACTGATGTAAGCCCCATTCACTTTATTTTTCCAAAACACTGAAAAACTCTGGAAGTGGCAAGATAATTTCAGTATTGTTTCTAGGGATTCAGAGACAGGAGTTATCCTACCATGGAGCAGCTTTGCACTGACTGGCTTCAGGGACTATTCCACTTTCCCCCCCTGTAACCTTCAAATATCCCATGCATTCACACATCTCTTTGGTGGCAAGAAGTATGAGTTTCACCCTCATCTGCAAATGATGGATCTCATTATTGGTGCTACTATATAATAGTATATGATACACCTTTATAGAGCAACTGAAATTACTTTTACAATGCATTGTTATAGATGCCCTTATCTTTATCTATTCCTACATAATCACTTTTCTTTAAGCTCAATTTGATTTGCTCTGAGGTTAAAATTTACAGAATTACATCTGAAGCACTGTATATATCAGCGGTTCTCAACCTATGGGTCACGACCCCATTTGGAGTCGATCGACCATTCCTTGGGGGTTGCCAAACAAGGCGATCCGCCATTTTTCCTCCTCAGGGGGCGGTGCCGCGCATGCGTGCCATGCATGGGGGCGGCACCCCCATGTGCGCGGCGCTGCGCATGCGCGGCATGTTTGTGTGATGGGGGTCGCCGTCACACAAACGTTGAGAACCACTGGTATATATAGTCTCTCAAGATTCATCAATTAATAATAATTTTAAAATGCATATTAATTAGTAAATGCATTTCAGTATATTTCACAAAATCATTAATAAATGCATGAAGCAACCCATGTCTCATTTAGGCTTCATTAGTGTGAAAGAGAAAATTAATATTAATATCCAAGCATTGCTACAATATCTAGGCAATTATTACAATAACTGTCAAATAATTCTTGATTAAAATTCCTTTAACTATTAATACTTTTGGAACTGTGCAACGGTCCAACATATATTCATAAAAAGTGCAAAAAAGCCAATGACAACTATTACTGCATCTAGAGTAGCATATTATAAAGAATGGTTTTTTAATGTTATAGCTATTACTGACTGCTACAGAGAATGAGTAAGACTCACAAAAAGTGTAAGAAATAGAAAAAGGATTTCTGAAATCTGTATCCAGGCCACTAGAGTAGAAATTCTTTCATGTTTGCCACATCTTATCAAGGTTTATCATGACATAAAAGTTTACTGCTCTTCCATTAGTCATTAAGAGCCTACAAAAATAGTAACTACTGTATTCTAAAATACAAAATCTTTATTGTAACATTAAATATTATACAGCTTTGAAAACCAAAGATATGTTTTAGAAGGGGCGTTGACTTACCTGAACGCCTTTTCTCAGCACGGAGATGGATAATCCACGCAGTGGGTTGAGACTGTATTCCTGGCCAATCAGATCAGTCAGCCAAAGTTGCCACGCCCCGTCTTGGACCATGATCCTTTAGTCTTGACTCGAGCGCAGCCATTAACTGACAGTAAGACGTTTTGGCTCCACTAAATATACCCTATTATTCTAGTCTATAAGGGTGGGTGTGGATTATCCATCTCCGTGCTGAGAAAAGGCGTTCAGGTAAGTCAACGCCCCTTCTCCAGCACTGGAGATGGATAATCCACGCAGTGGGACATACCAAAGCCTATTGTCCCTTGGGTTGGGGAATAGACTGGTCCCGTGTGCAACTTTGGTCTAGCACCTGCTGGAGAACCCTCCTACCGAAGGAGGCCTCTGCAGAGGAGTACCTGTCGATTTTGTAATGACGAATGAATGGAGAGGGCGAGGCCCAAGTGGCTGCCCTGCATACCTCTTCAATAGAAGCCTGCATGGCCCATGCTGCTGAGGTGGCAGCACTCCTTGTGGAATGGGCTGTGATATGCTTGGGGACTTGCAAGGACTCCGCCTGGTATGCCCCCGTGATGCATGCCCTAATCCACCTACCGATGGTAGAGGACGAGACCTTCCGGCCCCTAGTAGCAGGGTGGAAGGATATGAAAAGCGCTTCCGAGCGTCGGAATTCCGCTGTGCGTGAAATGTAATGTCTTAGTGCCCTGCGTACGTCCAAGGTGTGCCATTGTTGTTCCAGGGGATGAGCTGGGTTTGGACAGAAGTCTGGTAGGACTATTTCCTGTGATCTGTGAAAAAGGGAGTTGACCTTTGGAATGAATGAAGGGTCTATTCTTAGGACTACCTTGTCCCTGTGAAAATGGCACAGGTCCTTCCTCATTGAGAGAGAAGCTAACTCGGATATCCGCCGAGCTGACGTGATGGCTACCAAGAATGCTACCTTATGGGTCAGATAGCGAATGTCACATGTTTTGAGTGGTTCGAAGGGCGCTCTGGTAAGAGCTTGTAGTACTCGTGGTAGTTCCCACGATGGATACCTGTGCACGGTTGGCGGTCTGATGTTTGCAGCCCCCTTGAGGAAGGATCGTATTAAGGGATGCTTGCCCAAGGATTCACCGGGGCTGGCAGAAAGTATAGTTGAGAGGGCGGCGATTTGCCTGCGCAGTGTGTTTGGCGAGAGGTCCCTCTCTAGGCCATCTAGTAAAAATTCTAGGATCTTGGGAATTGTGATCCCTTCGAGTAACAATTCCTGTTTAGAGCACCATGATTGGAAGCTTCTCCACGTGGCCTCGTAGATACGGTTCGTGGAGGGGCGCCTTGATGCCTGTATGACCCTAATTACACCCTGTGAGCAAGCCCCCTTGGCTAAAATTGACCGTTCAAGAGCCAGACGGCTAGTTGTAGCCATTGTGGCTCTGGGTGGGAGATCTCCCCCTGCTTGAGGGAGATCCTCTCCGGAGGAATCCGCCATGGATTCGTGCAGGAGAGACTCCTCAAGTCTGCGAACCAAGGTCTCCTTGGCCAATAAGGGGCCACAAGGATTACCTCGGCCCTTTCCCGCAGAATCTTGCGTACTACCGCCGGAAGGAGAGGTAAGGGTGGAAACGCGTACAGGAGCCCCCTTGGCCATGGGCTCCGTAACGCGTCCGTCTGCTCTGCTCCCTTGGATGGGAATCGGGAGAAGAAGCGAGTTAGGTGGGCATTGGAAGGAGAGGCAAAAAGGTCCACCTGGGGAAGCCCGAAGTGGTGACAGACCTCCCTGAAGATCCTCGGGTGTAGTTGCCACTCCGAGTGATCTATTGTTGATCTGCTCAACAGATCTGCTTGGATGTTTGCCTCCCCCGATATGTGGTCGGCCTTTATGGAGGCCAGATTTTGTTCCGCCCAGGCCCCCAGTAGGAGGGCCTCGGCCGAGAGCGAGCGAGAGTGTGTGCCCCCCTGACGGTTTATGTGGGCCTTGGCTGTCACGTTGTCCGTCAGGACCAGTACGTGCCTGCCTTTTATGCTGCTGTGAAAATGCCTTAACGCTAGGTGAATAGC